GGCTGAGAAAAGGAAGGAGGCCGCAGTTAAAAATAGGATAAAAGGACATGAAAAAATGTAAGGTTTTTTTTTTTTTTAATGTGTGTGTGTGTGTGTGTGTGTGTGTGTGTGTGTGTGGTTTTTTTTTTCCCTTAAGCTTCACTTGGAAAATGTGCTGCAGCTGGAGAAGCCATCGGGCTCAGCCCGGACGGCTTTCGCCTTCCCCCTCTCTCTCCCCCCCTCCGCAAACCCCCTGTCTCCGAGCGTGGGCCTGGAAAACAGCCCAGAAAACGCTCACAGAAACAACTTTCCTCCGGGGAACTCCACTAGGGACCAGGCAGGGAGAAAGAGCAGGTCGCGCGGCCAAAGAGGCAGCAACGTGGGGAAAAGCAGGGAGGGTTCGTCGCAGATGCAGGCAGGCCATCCCCGTGGGATTTCGGATGGCCGGCCAGCCTGAGCCAAGAGCTGGGCTTGGAGAGCCGATCGGCGCCAAAATTAGCGGGGTGGGGGCAAAGGCCACCGGCACGGGGCGATGCAGTGCCATGCAATGCTTTGCCGCAGACGAGAGCCTCGTTTTTCTGCCAAGTCCAGCACAACGCTGCTGTGGCTCGGCCCCCAGGGACCCCAGGTAAGATGCCCACAAAGTACCACGGGGCTGCATGCGGGTTTGCTGCATTAGGGACATGCCGTCCCCGAGCTGAAAAGCCCCAAACGTTCTGGGCTGAGAGGTGGCACCAAGCTAACGTGCCCAGATGGCATCTGGACCCTCAGTGGGTACCTCAGGTCTCTCTGCACCATGCACCCCCACGGCACCTGGCCTGAACTGGGTGTCGCAGGTCAGCTCAAGGCGATGCCTTTTATTCGTGACAGTGTCTTGGTGCGGGGAGTCTAACCGAAATCAGCTTTCACAGTGGCACTAGCCAGGGATGCAGAATCAAACCCATTGCGCTGCTTTTCTCCTCTAGAGAACTTCAATGTCATGTCTTGCTATGCAAATCCCCAAGCCAATCCCATTTTCCTCAGCGAGAGCGGGATCGCTCCCGCAAGTGCTCTCGCACTGTCCGAAAGGCTGAGAGCATCTTCAGTCCAGACGTACTAATTCAGCTCAGCAACAGTCGTAGAAACTTCTTCATCTAGAGTCATTTCATCCTTCTCTTGCCATTAAAAACAGTTTTATCTCCCCTATCACTACAGAAAACAAATCAATTCGTAGTGGAAAGGGCTGTCAAAATGACCTTGGCTCAAAAAGGCAGTGCAGCAAGCACTATGTCAGTGCCAAAATCGTACTATTGCTATCACATCTTTCCCTCTGCTTCATTTTTGTGCCTAACCTTCCGGATACCAAACAAACGAGGCACCCACGGCATCTTCCAACCTGCCTAAGACGCCTGGGTGGCAGGAGGGAGAGGTCTGCTCTGCTACCGGCCGGCACGAGGCCTCAGTTTTCGCCATGAATGGGTGGGCAGCAAGTTTCTGAGCTCTTATCTTAAGCGAGCCACTTTGTGCCGGTAGCTGGTAGCAATTTCCGGGCCCGTGCGGCCACGTCTCCCTGAGGAACAGGCTTGTTACCCTTTCGCCGAGCCCTGGATAGCCAGTGTAGGCACAGCGAAGAACTCAGATGCTATTACCAGATGGTAATAGTAGGATACTGCTACCCCAGGGATTAAATATATTTAGCCAGATAGGCAAGGACAGGAGGCAGCCAGCTGCTTCCTCCACAGCACGACAAAGCCAACCCTGCTTCCTAGCTAAGAAACGGCCTGAGCTGCTCTCCTGGGATCCAACAACCCCGCGGCGCCCAAGCTCCCTTCAGCGCTTCTGCCCACATCGACATCCTGGCGCGAGGCGCGACTTTCGGCGTCCCGCAGCCGCCAGCAGCCCCGCCACGTAGCTCTTCCTCCGAACCTCACGGCAGACACACAGCACCCTCAACTTCGGGCCGCCGGACAGCTCGATTAATGTGCAATGGCCTCTGCGCGCCTATTCCCATCTATCCAAGGAGATGGAGCTAGCTTCCATAAACGGGCAGTAGCTGCGCTCTTGCAGTTATTTTCCTACATCTTTGGGATGCGTCCCTTACTTGCTCCGGACGCGATCTGGGCTGATTCTCTGGGCAGGAACGCTATGCGCTGCAGATTGTGGTAGCAAACTAACAAATGAAACTGAATATATTCCTTTTGCAAATTTTCTACCTTAAAAAAAATTACAAAAAAAAGAAATCTCTCTTCCTAACCAAATCTCGTCTGTACGATTAAGCTAGATCCAAGTCCGGCTTTCCTTATCCATAGCACCGAATAATCTTATCTGACTTCAAGCACAGTGTAAATAAACTCACCCAAGCTTCAAAGGCAACGTATCTTCTCTAAATGCAAGCAACTCTAAAACTTTTAGAAGTGTTGTGGGTTTCTATTGTGAGAGGATATATTCACACTTGCATTTTTCCTTGTTGACTTGTTTCTTTCACCAACACCAAGACCATGAAAACCAAAATAGCCTCCAGTGCATCAGGAGAATAGATGACAGATGAATGGTTCTAATGTGCACCGAAGCACAAAGGAGAAATGAAAGAACGTTCCTAGCAGTATATACAAATGAGAGTTTCCTCTCATTTAAAATTAGAAAATGCTCTAGACTGAAGAAACGACAGCACAAAGAAGAAAATCAGAGAAAGAGTACCTTGCCTTGCAACCGGAAGAACTGAAAAGTAATTCTTAGGTACTGAAAGAGGCTTAGAGGCCTATCCTACCAGCACCAATGTCTTGAAAGTTTGATCTAAACCTGTTGAAGTCAAAGACAGCTTTTTCACTGACTTTACTGAGGTTTGAACCAGGCTCCAATCTTTGCAGCAAGAGATTTCGCAGACCCAGTATGGGGTAATGAAGATCTGGGTTGTAGATATGTTGGTCCCTGGAGAGAGCACTTTCACAGAAAAGGGGAGAGGGTAGGGAAAAATGCAAAGAGAACTTTCCAGGCCCAGATTTGCAAAATGTTTGAGTAAATCCAAATGCTACAAGGGCAGATTTCATCAGAGCAGAGTTGACATCATGCTGAGAGAGGTCACCCACAGGAGTTGAGCAAATAGCTGAAATAAGAACGGCTGGGAATAGACATCAGAGTTTTGCTCCAACCACAGGCACAGCTCTCTGTGTCCATCTCTGGCTAACACGCAAGTGCTCACCAAAGGAAAAAAAACTGAAATGCCTGAACATTTGCCAAGGAGAGATTTCAAACTGCACATTTGACCACAATAGTCACTGGTTCTGCTGATCTCTTTAGCTGCAAAGAGTCTCTAAACATCAGGGCTTTTCCCCTCCCAAGGGGCCGATGCGCATAACTAACGAGCCGGGAACAAGTCACAGAAGACCAGCACATGCCATGCAAAAGCTTACATGGGATTTAAGTGCTTCATGATAGGCTTATGTGGGAGTTAAGCGAAACATAAACTTCATATTGGCCCTTTGCAAAGGTCACATTCATGCAACTTGAGCTCTTTTACTCAGTTGTGTAGTTGGCCTGTGCCACAGTGTACCTCAGCCCTCTCTTTTGCCATGGTACATAGGGGGAACAGAGCCCTGGAGGCACAGCTTCCTCAAGCCACTATCAAGCCCAGACCTGCTTGCTGCGGACAGGGGAAGCCTCCAAATCATAAGCGTCAGTGAATATTACACACTCCGTGGTGGAAACAGGGCTTGCCCCAAGGTCCAAAGCTCTTAGCTGAAGCCTAATCTCTGAGTAACCCTTCTCCATCCCCCTCGCAAGCATGAGTACCAACTGCCTACTCCGAGATCTGCACTGAGTCAGTTGGTTATACAAGAAGCAGCCCAAACTGCACGTTCAGCTTCGAGATTCACGGGCTGAACAACGTGCAGGCCAAGAATTAGTCACTGGCGATTTTGTAATGACTTTCAAATTATGAATACATTTGAGAATGTTATCATCTAGTCAAAATCAATGAATTGCCCTAACCGTGCAGCACGTTACAACCATGCATGTTCCACCGAGCTCCAGCTGAGGTTATTCTGCAGTGCCTGAACACCCCCCCTAGCACCACTGGGAGCAAGAGAACAGAGCTGAGCTACAGGGGCAACAGACCCAGAAGGCAGACCCAAGAAAGTTCTTGTAACAGCCGAATTCAAACTCAGGAGTCCCGGGCTCCCCGCCATGCTCCATGGAGGCCACACTGCCTTCCAAAAGCAATCTGCAAGAAGTCAGTCCAGCTAAAGGCTGTGCTAATGCTATTAGGAAAGCTGAAAACGCTGAGGATGCAACCAGCTGCTGGGCAGATCTGGCTTGCTCCTGCGCACGTTATCCTCTCAGCGACCCAGTGTCTGTCAAGGACCCACGGAGAAGCCTTGCTGTAACCACGACTGCAATTCCTATTCCATAAGGGACATGGCACGCGATCACACCCAGCAGAAGTTGCCACCCGAAAGAGCAGAGAGACCTTCTCCCAGCCAGGCACCCACGCAACAGGGGGGAGGAACAAAACCGCCGCCCTTCAGCACTCGCCGCATCACTTCCATCGCTCCGGCCAGAGCAGACTCTTTAGTTAGGCTAAGCAGCGTTAAGGCTTATTCTGCTTCGTAGCCCCGGCTCCACTGAGGGAGACCCTCACACAGCGTTGGCCAGAGGAGAGCAGTGAGACAGGCACAGACCTGCTTTCCAGGGGTGATACTACGTTAGACTCTCTGCAGCTGCTGAAGCTAGAGGACGAAACGCTCCTAACGCACAGCCTTTACCGCCTGCCTTATGTTAAGTCAGGCCTAGAGAAGAAAGTAAATGTAGAGCGTGGTAGGAAAAATGAGACAAGGAGGACATGAGCAGGTGTTGTACAATAAGCAAGAGCATCTCGCTTATCGCTCAGCAGATACACCCACAGAGCAGGGCTTCAAAGGCACCAGAGCTCATCTTCCCATTTAAACACACCGCCCGAGTCCACCAGCAAGGGAAAGCAGATGCCTTCCCTGCTCACCAGCTCAAGTCCTCCTCCTCCCCTGTTTTTTGCAGAAAGGAGGTCCTACCTGTGCTGTAGTGCTCCAAGCCGGTGGGCACTTCCTGAATGGCAGACTCATCCCAGCCTGGGTAGCATGTCCTCTGCTGGCAGCAGGTGGATTGAAACCCGCAGGTCATCCAGGGATCTTCATAGGAGCTGGCAGCGCCTTGCTTCTGAGCACAAGGGGGAGAGAAAAACATCAGGTTAGCAGGAAAGCGAACGCAGAAACACTCGCCCCAGCAGCAGGTCTCAGAGGCAGCCCTTCTCACGGAAAATTACAAAACGTGCATTTTCATCCCCATTCAAATGCAAAACAACAACAAAAAGAAGCGATAGTTTGCATTTTGGTTTCCAAAAGCCAAGCCAAGTAACACAAGGCGGAGGGAAACAAAACCTCAGCCCAACGCAGGCGGCTCTGGGAACAGCAAGCTCAGCTCCGCGGACCTGAGAAATTTGGACCCGGCAGCAGATCATAACCACCGCCCTGGCTCCGCTTGGCCCATCACTCGTCAGCTCCCATCCCCGAGGACAGCCCTCCTCTGCCGGCGGCCAGCCAAAAAGCCCTGTGCCGGCCGCAGTCAGCCTGTGGCCAAGGCTGGGGGCATCACGGCTCCCCCGGGACGCCCGGCTCCGGCCCGACCGCCGAGCACCAGCAGAGGGAGAAAGCGGCTCACGGCTCTTCTTCGCTCCTCTCCCACCTTTTTTCAAGGGAAGGCCTGAAAGCGGGACAGGCAATTTCTCGCCAACGCCTTTCCCGTGGGGAACAACCTCTGGCTGCGTCTCTCCGGCCCGTTCGCATCCCTCCGCAACGGGGCGGCTCTGGAGAAAACGCTCTTTGTTGCAACTATTCCTTTTATCCCATGCAATTATTTCCTAGACTCTGAGGCCAATGGAAGGAGTAAGTGTGTATACACGCATATAGAGCTTATATATAATACGCATACATAGCATACGTTATACACACGCACATACATATATTATATATAACCAGAAATGACAAGCTGCTTTTCTAATCAGCATATTTGTTTATATACGCACATTATATCGCATATAAAATATTCTTTTATACATAAATACATGAGAATATATAAAAATAACCCCCGGGTATCAGTTTCATTACGTTCTTATATATGTGAAGAATACACATATGCATATTTTATGTACATATATACACACACACAATATGTTATATAGATTTATATATACATTATGTATTTTATATGTGTGTGTATATGAGAAATGCAAGTGTAAACTATACCTATATAAAAAGAAATATTTTAGATGATTTTATATATATATATTCACATACACACACACATATATATATTTTGTGTGTGTGTGTGTGTGTGTGTGTGTGTGTGTGTGTGTGTGTGTGTATTCACACGCATAAACTCAGGATATTATTTTCACTCAATTCCTAGCATTTTTTTCCAGGGAAAATAATTTTTCTTCATTTCCAATTAACACTTCAAGTGCCGAGTCCGTGCTTGGCGCTGTTTAAAGGAGAGGCATTGAGCCGTGCGAGAAATCCTTCTGGTCTGCAAGTGGACTTTTACTCGTAATTTGGTGAAAAATCCACTTTGCAGCAAGCCCTCTGTCTCCCATAACGTCTCACCTCGGAGCTGCAGCTTTCCTCCGACCTCGTCTAGGGCCTGAAACAGCAGCCATCGCTTCTTTGCATAAATGCCCATTCATGTGATTTGTCTGCGTATGGGGTCATATAGAAATACAAGATGCTCTGAGAAGCTCGGGAGCGGGGAAGGCTGCCCCGGCGCTGCCAGCGTCTGCCCCGGCGGGCCCGGGGCGGCCAGCAGCAGCCCGCGCGCGGCTCTTCTGCAGACAGCCGGACCCCCCACCCACGCCCCAACCGACCCTTTCCCAACGCTGGCTTTCGTTGGCATCCGTTCAGGGCAGTCCCCGGGCAAGGCCAGCACGGGAGGAGGAGGCGGCGCTGCGATCGTGACCCTAACGATCCTCCGCTGACGACGACGAGCGCAGGACGCCCCACGCAGCGACCCTGCTTCCAGCCCGGGCTGGCAGGCTCAAGGGGTTCAGCTAAGCTCTGGGTAAACCCTCGCTATCTGGATGCTGCTCTGAAGCAGCTGAAACCTTGGGGACTATTTGGCGTCGGACACCCAGCGGTAGCTACGAACGGGCTGGCAATGGCGCAGCAACCGGAGAGAAGAACGCGCTCTCCACCGGCTTAATAAATAATAATCAGAATAAATTAACCCAATCTCCTTTCTTACCATCACTCCAGGGCGAGCCAGAGGGTAAGGGGCAGGACTGCCGACGGCTGCGTCCATATAGTAGCTCATCATCTCGGAGGGGCCTGCGGAAACGGAGACGGACGTTAGGGGACCGGCTGCAGAAGCCTGGCGCGACATAAAAGTCTCGGCTAAACCCCCTGCAAAACCTACGCCTTGTCACGGCCATGGAGAGGTAGGACCAGACTATCACCTTTTAATTACTTTAAACTGGAAAAGGTAAGAGGGAAAAAAAAAAAAATCTGCATTAAAAGCCGGTTTTGTGACCGAGCGCGCGTGTGTATTAACAACGCAAACCCGTCAGCGTAGACTGTGATGGGGGCCTGACGATGGTGACCGCGTTATCAACTGGAAGCTGACGGAGCCACTCAGAGCGTGGATGAGATCATGTTTCCTTTGCTGCAGAACGGGTGAGAAATAATTTCCTTTTTTTTTTTTTTTTGGGAACAAAAAAGCCAGGTTGTTGACATCAGCACTATTCCTGTAAAAGTTTCTTCAAAACCAATTTGTTTCGGCAGAAAACTTCTCCATTTTTCAAGAGCGATCTTCTGGAGGAAGTCGGCTCCCTGGATGAGCTTACGTCCCCACCGCTATAGCCCTCCCTTGAGCCCCCGGTTCCTACTCCCGCCTAATCTGCAGCGTGGCAAGCGTCCGTCTCGGCCCGTAGGAGCAGGCCAACGTTGCGCGTGTCGTTCCAGGCGCGGCATGCCCTGCCCGGAGCAAGTCTTTCTACCGGCGCCGCTCACTAGATGGGATCTTTAGTTATCTGCTGGCCTGTTCGTGCGGCCGAGGCGAAGGAGCCGAAATCCACCCCTTTTCTCCACCGGGTAGATGTTTCTCCTTCGCATCGCGCCCTGGAGTAGCTCTCGGAGGTTTTCGGACCCGCTCCGGGCCACCTCCTCGACTTCCTCCCGGCCCACGGGGACGGGGAAGCGCGCACCGGCCAGGGGAGAGGGTCTCAGCAGAGCCTCCGGACAGCGTCTCCCCACCGTCTTGCGTGACTGCCGGCCAAGCGTGAAACGCCTCTGTCTGTGTACGCGTATGAAATCATCGTCATCGTTTCCTGCTTATTACTACCAACTCTTGCTCTAGCAAAAGAGCTGTTTGCTCCCACAACAAGGTGAAGGGAGGCAAAGAAACCACCGAGTTGACCCGGCTGTTTTGGCACCGCACCCTCGCGCCCGAGAGCAAAGAGCTACAGCCTCAGCGCGGCGGTACCCGTGAGCAGCCCTTTTCTCTTTTTTTTTTTTCCTGCTTTGCAGCTTGTGCAACAAGCAGTCGGGTTTTGTTGTTGTTGTTGGTTGGGGTTTTTTGTTGTTGTTGTTTTTTTTGACCAAGGCACCTAAGTCGCGTCGCTTCTTGCGAGCTGCTTTCACGCCTCGCCGACCATCGTTTGCATTTTTCGCAGGCTGCCTGAGCTGCACCTTCCAGCAAAGTACCGCACGGTAGCGCCCAAAGCGGCGCGCGCGTGCGCTTCGCTCGCCGCAGAAGCCCTAAACCCGTCCCGACACCCAAGACAAGGCTTCACGCCAGGAAGAAGAGCGATGAGATTGCCACCGAGCGGCACCGGCGACCCCCTTCCTGAGCATCTTCCTTACTTCTTTCCTGGGAGGGTGACAGAGCACTGGAGCAGGTTGCCCAGAGAGGTCGTGGAGTCTCCTTCGCTGGAGATACTCAAAACCCATCTGGATGTGATCCTGGGAAACATGCTCGAGAGGACCCTGCTGGAGCAGGGAGGTTGGACTAGATGATCTCCAGAGGTCCCTTCCAACCTCAACCATCCTGTGATTCTGCGATTCCTGGGAACGGGGAGCTATCGCCTCCAGCCCAGGGGTTCAGGGCAAGGGCTGTTTGCTTCTCTACTCATTTCTACTCCCTCTCTGGCAAGCTGCGCTCCGAGAAAGCATCCAGCGGGCAAAGAGGGCTCGGAGATACCGTGCAACCGAAGCTTCTCCGAGCTGTGGCTGCCCAAGGCAGGTCCGACTGACACCAGCTCCTCCCAAAGGCCCACACGGCTTTTGCCGGCGACGAGGCTGCAGCGGCGGGACAGAGGGACACCGGCGCTGGGCTGCGGGAGGGACCGAGAAGACCAGCGCCGCTAGAAGAAGGCAGGGCAGGTGGGCAGGTTGTGCGCGGAGACATGCACGCACCGAGTCACGCTCGGGGAAGAGAGGTACTAGCAGGGCTAGCAACGGGAGGCGCGATGACTTCAGCGAGGGAGCTCTGGAGCGCTTCGGGCTGGGCTAATTTTAACCCAACTTCCACCACTTCCCATAGGAAACTACTTCACGGCCCGATACATCTCTCACTGTCAGCAGGTTTCCCTGATGTTCAAGGCGATATTTTTCTTCGCTTTGGCTTCCTCTACTATGAGCCTAAATAGTTCCTCTCCTCCCCTTGGAGGCCGTTAGGGAGCTTTAATGACCGCTCAGGAGCTTGCAGCCAAACCAAGGTCTGTCCCAGCGATCGCGTTCGGCGCGTCAGGTAACTCGGCCAATATTGGGGGAACGAGTGCAGATTTACACGGAGATAATCAAGAAGCGCGGCTTGCGGAGAACTGCTCATGCATGAAAGCAGGATCACAACCATGTGGTAAAATCCTTAATGACTGAACAGCTTGACTTCGGGCTTATTGTTTGCTGTTATTATTTCAGTCTTATTGTGAAAACATGTGTGGGAGAAACAGCGGGTTTTTTTAGGGCTTGATCAAACACCAGCCAAAGCTATTAGACTCTTGGGTCACTCCTCAGCTAAATTAAAATCTTCGTTTCATCTCTCCTCTTTTACAAGAGGTGGTTTTTAATTAACTACCAACTTCGGTGTAAAAAGGGAAGAGTTATTCTTTTCCCCCCATGATTAACGCCCACACCTTTGCGGACGTTAGGAAGGCGTTTACAAAGTGTATATTAAAACAAGACTAACTTTGTCTACTGTATTTATGAAGACCCTTCACCCTGCACTGATCCCTCTTGTCTTTTTTTCAAAGCCCGGGGCTTACACTGCTCCCCAGTTTCTGGGTCGCAGGGCCGTGCTCAGCCTCTGCCCATCCCATACCCATCGGTCCCAGGCTGGCATCTCACTTAGAGGGTCACACGAGGGTACCAGGCTTGGGACAGCCGCACAGTAGGATCTGGGTGCTTTTCTCCATCCCAACAGACCAAGGAGGTTCCCCTTCCGCAGGCTTAGGTGGGAAGGGCAAGAAGCAAGGGCAAGCCGGCAAGAAGGGGCAACGCTCGCAACCCCATCGAAACAGTTCTGTCTGCGAGAACCTGGATGAAGCCTTCAAAAACTGTCCACCTCCAACGCAACCACCCTCCGTGGGCTGCCGCGCTGGCAGCTCGCTGGCCCAAAGCTGCTTAGTGATAGTCATTTTATTTTTGCATCAAGTAATAATTTATCATCTTCGAGGGGGTGGGGAAAAGAGCTCGTGGAAATGACATTCTTCCGCAAGGTTTTAACCCGCGAAGTGCTGGCATTTTCCAGGCTGCCTGCCAATATAATTCCCAGGAGAAAAACCAGTGTTTGTAGATGTGCTGGTACATTAAAAACTCATTCAGTTCATCAAACCCTGGCATCAACTTTAAAATAAAAGGAGCATCCCTAATGCAGGGATACGAGCAGTACGAAAGAGCATGCTTCACTTGCTGCAGCGAAGGCTGTTTGCAACACATGCTTTTTAACAGATTGGCCACCGGCTGTCTCCATTTCCCATCACGGGAATTCACATTTAGTGTGATTTCAAAAGTTTGCAGCAAGCGCACAGATAATACCTAATCTACCGAAGGGAAGCCAGGAAGAACGGTAAATAATGATGCGATGGCAAACACAGCAAGAGCCCTTCTGCACCCTCCGCAAATACTCCAAGGGATGAAATGACTTGGCTAAGGTCACACAGAGAAAGCGAGGGAGAGAGGTCGAGTACCGGAGCCTCTAAGCCGCTATCTTAAACGACCCGGCAGCGACTGCCGTTGGATCAGCGGTGCTTTGAGGAGGTTGTCCACACCGTTTCTGGGGACGGCGTGGCCAGGGGCGGCAGGGAGGGGGCTGCCGGTCCGCACATCGCTTTCCGCTTTAACGCCGTGCCCCTTTTCTCAGCCGCTGCCAGCGCTGAAGCAGATTTGACGGTGCCTTAAGGGCCTTCCACCTTCCCAGAGAGACAGCAGCAGGATGGTTAAGGTTTGGACCAGGCAGATATGTGCATGCACACACAAGCCCTCGATCCCTGAGCTTGGGAGTAAACCCGATTTAGACTTCGCCTTTACCCAACTCATTAGTCGGTGGGGAAAAAAAAAAATACTAGCCATCGCTATTTTATCATTTAGCTTAAAGTAATGCCACCACCACCAGCACCGTCAAGTCTATAGCAAACCGACACCTGGAGGTCATGCCAAGGACGCTGGTTTAGGTGAGACACTAAACCAGAGCGGCCGTTGCCATTAAATCACGCCCCTATCTGGGATCATAACAGCTATTTGCAATAGCAGGAAGACGTGAACGGGAGGGAGGGGGTAATTAGGTCATCTGCTATTTCACTCACGTATTTCCCTCCGTGAAGGCACAGGCTTAAAACACAACACCACGCACCAGCTCCTCAAGCAGGGCAAAGCAGCGGGGCTGGGGGGAAGAGCCGGACCCGCTTCTCGCTAGGCGGTGAAAGATCCCCTGCCCCAGGGCAGCCCGCGCATCCCTCTCGCGTAAAGCACAACCCAGCCCAGGGCAAGCCAGGGCTTTCCTGCGGATGCAAGGCCCGGCTTTACTTTCGTGTTTCGCTACAGGTTTCCTGTAGGGCAGGTGATGCCGGCGCGCCGATGCACAGGGGCACGCAGACGGACGCAGGCGCTGGACGCGCAGCGCGCTTCCATCACAATCCAAGCCGCCGGACGCGCGTCGCCGCTCCCTGCTGCCCCAGGTGAAAATGTCCGGGTAGCCCAAAATATCCCGGCTTGCAGGAAAATTGTTTACGTGACGTTCGGGGGCAAGATAAAAACCCGGCCGAGTTAGAGGCAGCGCCAGCGGTCTGTAACCAGGAAACCGCGCTGGAGCCAGCCCACAGCCCCCAGAGGTGTCAGTTGACAGC